GCATGCTTAGTGTGAGGGATTGCTGAAGAGTCAATGAGTCGATGCAATCAGCTGGTTTTCCTTAGATACCGGTGAATTGCTATAAAGATGCACTCTTTATTAAAGAGTCTCTTTACAGTTCAATGTAAAAGGAAAATTACGCGAAAAAGTTAAACATACCTTTACTTTTTATTCGAAAAAAGTTATCCTCTCAAAATAATAACCAGAATAATCTGTAGATGGAGCACTGATATATTTAGGCAGCATGGAAGTCGTTGTTTGTCTAAAAAAACTGCGGCTCTAGCCATGGAAGATTGTGGATGGAGGCTGGTAGGGGCCCCTATAGAACTTGTCCTGGTTGGTGGCCCAGGTAATGAAGACATAACTGAATTGTCCCCAGGATCACAATTCTTATCTACCAGACTGCTAGTGGCTTTTTGGTTCTCCCCATAATAAAACACTGCCCCCTCCTGGCAAAGTTGGTCTAGAGCTGCCAGTGGTTCTACCTTCATGTCTTTCTGATTTTCTGTACTGCTCACAATGCTGAAACCATACAACTATTTTCTGAATTCATTTTGAATTTTACTTTCTTTCTTTCTTCTTTCAGCTTCGGTCGAGGAATTTGCAGACATCTTTGTCCTGGTGGACAATTCCTTACAAAAGTTAAACCAGTTCAAGAATGACCTGAACAGAATGATCAGCCAGCTGGATGTTGGACCCTCCAGCTATCGTATCGGTCTGGCCCTGTATGGTCGAGATGTTAAGGAGGAGTTCCGTCTGAACACTCATAGAACCATCAAACAGTACGAGAAAGCGGTAAAAAGCTTACGAACGAGGCCACCGCTGGGCTCAAACTCGGACCTGGCCAAGGCTTTGGAATACGCAGCCGCTAACTTTTTCACCGCTGGAAATGGGGGCCGTGCGAACCAAGGAGCTCGGCAGTTTTTGGTTGTTGCTCTTCAGCAAGACTTCAGCGAACGTGTGTTTGAGCTTGCAAATACGCTCAGATCTGAAGGAGTGACCATTGTGGCGATGAGTGAGAATGTACCAAAGGAAAGAATGCGAAGATTTGCAGACCCAGGATTTGAATTTGAGAATCTGAAAATTACTGAGCTGAAGAATACCTTCACTACCCAACAAGAGGAAAAAATTGAGAGAGGTAGGAGCCATCTGCCTTTTCCACACTGTCTGATGTAACATAGGTCATGGTTCGGTTTATTTTCTGGTACAAATGTTTGTTATCTTCTACTTTAAACAAAGAAAAGACAAAACATTCAAATTAAAATTGCTCATATAAAACTGAATGTAGATTTCTTACCAGTTGTACCAGAATAAACCATTTTACGGTAACTGATGGTCTACATCTCATGCTGCTTTTGGGGCCAATTTGGACTTTAGCCTTTTTTCTTGGTAGCAACTATTTTAAAATTCTGTTTGTCGTCATCAAGGTCAGTAATTCAGTATTAAGGAGCTAACCGTTGTTTGCTAAAATCAGTTTAGGTCTTTTTGTCCACTGAAATGTACTTCCTGAATAAATGTACAGCCTATATCCAGTCAGTCAAGTTGAATAAAACATAGGAAACATCAATGTCTGTTTAATTTGAACTCACCCATCTTCAGCAGCGAACTATTACTGGTGCAGATTTCTGTATTTCAACTGTTTAAGTAAAGACATCATGATAAACTTTCTGCACTATTTTCACAGACAGCACAAGATTCAGCTCTGCAGACATCGTCTTCGTCATCTGTGAGTCGGACGGAATTGGGTCCAGCAACTTCCACTTGATCCGTACTTTTGTGAAGTCGATAATCGGCAGCTTGATTGTCCATCAGAAAAAAGACAGAGTGGCCATTATTACCTACAGTGATCGGCCCACGGTTCATGCTCATCTGAACAGCTTTCAGGACAGAACAGAAGCTCTGGAGTCGATCAACCGTCTCCGTTTCCAGGGTGGTGGCACCCGAACTGGAGCTGCTCTGCGTCTCGCTCTGGATTCAGTCTTCACCCTTGATAAAGGCAGTAGGAAGGGCGTCCAGAAGTTTGCAGTAGTGATCACAGATGGTGGATCCCAGGATAGCGTGAGGGAAGCAGCAGTAGCGCTTCAACGGGCTGGAGTCCGAGTTTTTGCAATTGGACCAAAAGTGAACTCAGCAGAGCTCTACGACTTGGCGTCTTACCCCAGCATCAGGCATGTTTTTGAGATAGACGGTTTTGCGAAACTGAAAGCCCTGACAAACGTCATGCAGAAGAGCCTTTTCCATTCGATCCTCCAGAGCTCCACCAACTCTTTCAAAAACAGCCAGGACGTCATAGAAGGTGGGAACTTTCATGTTTTTGTTGTTTATTCATTATTTATAGTCATTGTTTAAAGCAGATATCAAACGTCTACAGACTCCTGTTAAAATGCCAAATTCTTCTTTCCTTAATATGACATTTTTTCTGCAGAAAACTAGTTCCATAAAATGCTCTGATCTCAAACTTACTGATTTAATTACAATTTCCACTGAAAGCCATAAGAATTGTTTTATCCAGTTAGCCGGAAGTGGGAGGTAGCGACTGAAACCCCTGTCACACCTTGACGATTTAGACCAGCGTGTGCCTTGAAACCTTGGCGTATGTTGGACAGTTATGGGTACATCGACATACGGTGAGTATGTCTGACATATGCCAGCGTCCGCCATCCGTGGGCCGTCAGTTCCAGGTCGTTTATCTGATGGTTGACATACGTTCAGTATCAGTTCCTCATCAGTCGTGGCGTCTAGCTTATCCTAAACCTCTGAGTAACTTGTGCGTAACTTATCAAGAACTTCTCTCCAACGCGTATCAGCGTATCTGACGTGTTCCAGACGAGCGCTGAACGTGTTTCTAACTTCCAGCTACTGTATAATGATGTATTGGCAGCGTTTTGGTATAAAGGGGGTTCACAGGAGGAAACCGTCAGTTCTCCTCCAGACTTCATCCCCATCATAGGGTGAAACAGAAGGTGAGGGTGATGGATCCTCCCTGCGTTCACGCCCACCACCAACAAGCTTCCTAGCAGACACGACGCTCAATCTGCTGACAC